CTCAACCCATGTCCACTCCTGTTAAGGAAAACAAATCTATAGGGTGAGCAAAACGTTCGTGAGGCCAAGAACACACATGCAAGCACGTAGTTCAAGTAACACCCCCAAATTAATCAATTTAAAACAATAACCATTCAATAAAGAGCACTTCACTGAAAAGTAACCAGAAACAATTCAAGAATATGTGAGCTCTCAGGAGCTATTTTCCACTTGCACGATCACGAATCTCCACGCGTTGACACTCCGTCAACCGGGTAGGTTTAATCCGTAGAAACATCACTTACACTTCCCCTTCTTAATCTTACATACCACACCGGGCCCGCAATACATTTATGAGGCGATACTTCAGCGAGTATGCCAAGCAAGACCTCTCAATAGGTCGAGCTTATGAAATCTCATGGTTCACTGAGGAGCTCGACCAAACCCATGCTGGCTCGAGTCCAAGGCTAGCCAATAAGAAAGTTTGGACGTCCCCCATTTTTACACTTTTGTATTGAGGAGGTTCACTCCAACGACTTATGCAATTACAGCATAAATAATCACTTAAACACTTCACATATATTCACTTAACAAGTTACTTAAACAAGTAAGCACTTCACTTCACGAACTCAAGTTCACTTCGTTTAAATGAGAACGAGTGCGATAAAGTACACACTCGACTCAAAGGTTTCAAAATCTCAATTTATATAACACTTATCACTTTGCAGATATATCACATAATACACACATTTGACACTCACTGTGAGTCAATAGCAAAAGTGTCACTTGGAGGTTCAAGCTTCCACCGTGGGATCCTCTTGAAGGTCCTCGTGTGCGCCTGAGCAAATAATAGTGAATTATCATTCACACGTCCCAATTATCAAGGAATATTGTGCACTAGTACAATCTAGGGAAATTTCATGAAAATGAACCTCAATTACTCATAAATCGAGGTTCAAGTGGAATTTCTTAAAGTACAAGAGCAATCGAGTTTTTTAAACTTGGAAATCAAGCATAAACGTTCCAGTACTATCGAAGGAATAAGGAATACTTGAAAAGCTCCATTTCCTTGAAATTCGGAAAATTTCAGTTTTGATACGATATTTTGAAAAACCCTATCTACTACAAGAAAATTACGTTTCTGTGACAGGCGAAAGTCGTCACTAAAAATTCAGAAGTCGTCACAAAAAAAGTCAGTGACGACTTTTACTGCTGTCACAGAGCTGTCACTAGTTCTATGTCACAAAAGGGGGTCCATGTGACGACTGTTGAAAGTCGTCACAAACGATTTCGCTTTTGTGATGACTCTTGTCGTCACTCATTGTTGTACATTGTGTGACGACTTTTATTGTCACTAAGCTGGCTAAATTCTTGTCATAGTCAACCCTTGGAGTTGTCACATTATGCTTCCGTTTAGTGACGACTTTTGTTGTCATTGTTTTCCATCCATAAAAAGTGACGACTTTCTGGTGTCACTAGTGAAACTTGTTGGCAGTGACAACTTTTTTATTGTCATTTATTTTTTTGTAAAAAGCAATAATCTAATGTTAATTACGCAACATAGCTGCCAACAATCACAAAACGTTCATTGAGTAGCAAGGAGAAAAAAAAGCCAACATACGAAAAGAAAGCCAACATTCATTTCCAATAGAAGATCAACCCAAATACATATATATATAAATGTTGCCTCAAATGAGTCATAAACCATGCACCATCCAAAATAAGCCATTCAGTTACAATACTAGTGATTTCCCATCCACAATAGAGAGTAGTAAAGTTCTATACAAAAATATGACCACGATTCCCATCTAGAACAAAACATGAGCACGATAGGCCTTGTAGTCTTCAAATCAAAAACCATCTCCACAGCAATGACTGGCTTCTTCTTCTTGGGAATCGTGTTAGAACCTACACGTTACCAAAATTGAAGCAATGAGCACTGGTGTTAAAACTGGAACTACACTTCTAGATAGGCACCATATTATAAAAACTAATGTCACTCTAATTTGAAATTATAGCAATCTAAGTAAATTGCTTAACACAAAAATAAAGTGAAATTATAGCAAATAAGACATTGAATGTATATTCTGTGAAATATAGAATAACAATACAAACACAATAAATATTTGCATGTTCACAAATATATATGCAATAACAATAACAATAACAACAATAAAATCCTAAAATCATTGAGAGCCTAGATGATTGTGAACCACACAGTATATCAAGAAAAAAAACACACACACACACACACACACAATCACATGTGCCTCTTTTTCCTTAGCACAAAAAAAAAATTCTGATATAGAAAAATTTAGATGAGTTCGACAAAGAAAAAAGTGGAATACATCCCAACATTCAAACACCTTTGCTTTAAAAACACTAAAGTTTTGGTTGCAACATCCAGCACCTCAATGGCTGTAATTAAACATGAACAAGATTTCAAGCACCTAAATCAGGCTCAAGCAACTCAATTGCATTAAATAGGAATCAGATTTGGTGGAACTAGATTTCAAGTGCCATCAAGCAACCCAATTGTATTAAAAATGAATCTCTATTTTGTAGAACCAGAATTCAAGTGCCTCAATTGTAATAACTATGAAGAGCAAACAATTTATTTATACCTGACACAGAAGTTGCTTATTTGCGCAAGTATTGTCCCCCCATTGTGCTGTCCCAATGTCGTGCAACATGTCATTTAAATCCTCAGTATCACTATCCTCCTCTCCATCCCCATGTTTAGTACTATCCCCACAATTTTGGTGTTGAAATTGTTCCCCATGGTGTATCCATCTTGTGTAGCTTTTACGAATGCCTTGAGTCAATAAGTGATCCTCCACAACTGTTTTAGTTTGGTTACAAAAATTATTGCATTGTGTACATGGGCATGGGATTTTCTGATTTTCAACTTTTTGAGAATATGCAAACTTGAGGAAATTTTTGACTCCGAGTTCATAAGCCTTGTCCTTCCTATTGCTAATCTTCATCCAAGTTTTATCCATGTCCTAGATATAGACACATCAGCCTTTAGTACAAAATACTTTTCTAATATCAAACTAAAGAGAATAATTTGTTAACTAGCCTTTTCAAAAATTAAGGCTACAAGTCATATGAAAAGCAGCCATAAAAGTAATATGAAAATTCATATGAAAAGCCATGAAATCAGTATCATATATCAAGAAAAGTAATATGTAAAGCAGCCACGAAATGAACATGAAATTAACCATGAAAGCAGTTTCCTAAAATCCAAAAAAGCCATATGTAAAGCAGCCATGAAATTAACCATGAAATCAATAGAAATTAAAGAGGAGAGACTTCAACAAATGCACTAGCAATCACTTGGTGCAAGTTGGAACTGCAACAACTGCATAATCCCTATTCTTTTTGCTTCCTTTCTGTTTCTCTCTATTTGTCATTTTCTATTTTCAGGGACTTTGGTTAGGGAATTAAAGGCCCCATTAGAGAGGGGATTTGGTTACACTTATGAGAGAATCTAATACAGACTGGATGTATTAACCATATATATAAAATAGACCATTTTTTTTATTAGAATTTGTTCTTTTCAGTTTTTGACCATCTATAAGACTATGAAATGAAAGATAACCACCCCTGAATGTATTATATATATAAACTAGAGAACTTTTATCATACATTGTAAAAAATTTTGGATTTACCTTTAGTCTTTGCAATTTTTACGAAACAATGGCTTTCTCCAGTGGCTCCAAAAATTTTAATAACCATTTCTTTTTATTTTTTTGGTCCTATGGGGGAAAGAATAAACCATTCTTTACAGCCATATAAACCCAAAAGGTCTAAAGAAAAAGCAAAATTTCTGTTCGCTGGCATTCTAACATCTTGATAACAAAAAATTGAATAATCAAGTTAAGAGAATAGAATAGCAAAGAATTTATTCCTTTTTCTCTGTTTTGCTGTGGTATATGTTAAAACTTTGCTGTTATATATTTCATATAAAATGTCATGCAGTTCTTTTTCTTACCTTTTTCAGAGCAGTTTGAAAATCATGTGCCATATTTTGAGTCTTGGTTCCAATAAAAAGAGGAAAAAAAATTCCTTTTTGTAGTTAAAAATAATTGAGAATTAATGACGTAGCTGCAATTTCAGCACCTGAACTTCAACATGTTATGTTATCCTTTGTTTCTACATTCATTTATTGATGATTGAATATTATCTACTGTTGCTATAAACTCACAATAGAAAAAAAAAATACAATTAATCTGCTGAGATGGAAAAGAAATTGCTCCAGTATTTAGTTTTAGGGTGAAAATGATAATTATTAAATGGATACACTTGATGGAAATTTGTTCATCTTTCATTTGAGTCAATTTTATTTTGAACTTTTCCCCTCTAAAAATATCCCTCCATGTAGTAACATCTTCTCAGGTTCTTTCTTCTTTATATTTTCTCCCTCCCAGATAAAATTAAAAGATGTTAAAGCCAGATACCTCTACGATGTTATGGAACAAAGTCAATAAAAGAAGAACCGTACACAGAAATTTCTCAAGATACAAACTGAAAATGCAACATTTCAGAAGCCCAAATTGCCTCGGATAATGGCAAGGAAATGAAGCCTTTCGGGGGCAGGACAGAAGCCATTGGATAATGAGCTAACAAAAACAGGGGAAAATTAAAATGTAGGTTCGAAAATGGCAAGGAAATGAAGAACAAAGGGAGAATACAGCTATGAAAATCTTAACTATTACAAAAGATTAACCATTGTATGACTAAACACATATTGCACAACATGTTAACGGCAATTGAAACCCCAAAACAGTTTTCTGGCCAGTTCCCAAGCGTGCAAAATTCTAGTAAAGTGCATGCTTGATTACCAGAGAGAGAGAGAGAGAGAGAGCGAGAGAGAGAGAGAGAGAGAGAGAACCAGAGAGTAAATTACATGGTATGGCATAAAGTACATTTAAAACAGCCAAATAAATTAGGCAAATCAGTCAAGTTCTCTTCCCCTTAAGGAAGCAATTAAATGGCACGACAAATTGTTTAATTTCTCTTTCATCCAACCAAATTAATGCAGTCAAAAAATGTTCGCATTTCATAGCTCCTCAAAGAAAGCCGGTTCTGACCATCCTAATCACAAAAAGGTTCCATCAAAATATAAAGCAAGCAATTTTTGGTTTAATCAGTCCAAATTTCTCGAAAACAGTGAAAAAATCCACAAATGAAAAAAAAATTCTTGGATGAACCCTAACACTGTTCATACTCCAGATCGCAAGTGTTTCGGATGCGATTTGGCCAAGAGTATTACCTTCCCCACTGCTAATTAACAATCTAGTTCATAAATTAGTCTTTACAATAGAAGGCTGAGCAGCTTTTGAAAGCAAAAAAAAAAACACATACCGCACAATTAGCTGAAGAGGGGGTCGGAGAAAAGTCTAAGCTGAAGTCGCGGAACGAGGAGGGAGCTTGGAAGTGTTCTGACTTCGCTTCTTCGGCGAGCTTGACCTGAAGATTGGCACTCGTCAATGGTGCTTTAGAGGAGCATTTTGCGGAAGCAGAAGGTGTTTGAGGTCCAGAGTTTTTCGGTGTTCACCATAGAAAGGAAAGACTGAGAATAAAATTTGTCTAAGTGTTGGAAGAGAGAAGCGGCGAGACTTTTGTTTGTCTGTGAACAACCAAAAACGACGTCGTTTTGTAGAGATTTCAGCCACCCGCCTCGCGCGTCTTTCAGATTTCAGACTGGCGCTCTTTTTTTTTTGGAATCTAAGCACGTCTTTGAGATTCCAGGATTCACGCCTTTAGCTTCATACATCTTTTTTCTTTTTTTTTTCCCTGGTCAAATTTTTTTTTTCAGGTTTCTTTTTTCATACTTAATCTCTTTTGTTTTCCTTAATCTCATCTATAAATATCAAATAAATTATTTGATATTGGTTTCTTTTTTGTGCATGTATATATATGTGTGCTTGTTTGTGTCTATATACATCTTTTTGGGTTTGGACAACTCAATATACAAATTATTTAAGAAATTACCTTACAATAAAACTTACACAATAAAACATGTTTCAAAAATTTAACATGCATAGAATTGCTTATATACAGTATAGCACTTCTTACTCATGCTTATCCTACTCTTTGTCTATTACTTAGTTTTTATAATAAATTAAAAGAAACATGTAATCAAATATTCTATTAAATGTGTTACAACACTCAATCTTATTGCACGACAGATATTTTACTGAATAATTTTAATTTCGTATATACCCATTCCATATGAAAATAATTATTACTTATGATGTATTACACGTTATACTAATCTTTCACAGTACTAACATTAGACTACAAATTATATTCAATTACACTTTTTCAAATTATTTCAGTTATTGATTTTTGGGGGTTGTTATAAGTAATAATAAACAATTCATGAAAAAAATTTTATGCTCAGACATGTCTATTATGTCAACTTAGCAAAAATTACAAATATCTAAAACTAGTTTGTTATTATATCATTTGCATTTTGCTAATACGTAATGAATAGGGGCTAAATTATAAAATTAGGGTGTCATATCTTCTGTGCTTTTGCTCATATAAAAGAATTGGGGGCTAAATAATAAAATTAGGGTGCCATAGTAGAATTAGTGAAATTTGATGAAAATACTATAGAATTGCTTATATACAGTATAGCACTTCTTACTCATGCTTATCCTACTCTTTGTCTATTACTTAGTTTTTATAATAAATTAAAAGAAACATGTAATCAAATATTCTGTTAAATGTGTTACAACTCTCAATCTTATAGCACGACAGATATTTTACTGAATAATTTTAATTTCTTATATACCCATTCCATATGAAAATAATTATTACTTATGATGTATTACACGTTATACTAATCATTCACAGTGCTAACATTAGACTACAAATTATATTCTATTACACTTTTTCAAATTATTTCAGTTATTGATTTTTGGGGGTTGTTATAAGTAATAATAAACAATTCATGAAAAAATTTTTATGCTCAGACATGTCTATTATGTCAACTTAGCAAAAATTACAAATATCTAAAAATAGTTTGTTATTATATCATTTGCATTTTGTTAATACATAATGAATAGGGGCTAAATTATAAAATTAGGGTGTCATATCTTCGGTGCTTTTGCTAATATAAAAGAATTGGGGGCTAAAAAATAAAATTAGGGTGTCATAGTAGAATTAGTGAAAGTTGATGAAAATACTGTAGTATACAGTGATGCAAAAAGTTGTCACAAAATTGGAACCGGGTAGACTTTTAATGACAACAAGTTATGTTGTCACTGTAGAGAGAGCGTTTATGACGACTTTACTTGAGTTGTCATAAAATCATTTCCCGCGGCATCAAATGAGATGCGCGCCAACTATTTCGTGACGAGTTGAGAATGACAACTTCCAATGTTGTCACTGATTATGCTTGTGCTGTACTCATCTGTGATGACACCTAATGTCGTCACTGAATTAGGTTATCTGTGACAAGATTTTTGTTGTCACATAAATTTTTGTCACTGAAAAATATATTTCTTGTAGTGTCACCTTCCACATGTCAAAAATTGGAAAACTTGGTACCGTTGGAAACCTCTTCCAAAGTACTAAAAGTTCCTAGTATACACTTTTCTAATATTCCAAATGGAGAACATTCAAAAATGAGCTCAAAGTCGCTGTTTTGGTTCATAAGGCAGATTTAAGTTGGTTTTTGGCCAACTTTGAAAATTTGGTAAAATTCACTTGATTGGGACTAGCCTTTGAAATTTGGAAATCTATTAGAGTTGCAATCCAAATTTACAACCAAACAAGCGGAACGAGAAACGGAGTTTTGAGCACTAAGATATGGCAACTCAAAGTTACCAAAATTCCCTTGTGAAACAAGGGTTTTCCAAACTCGAGTCATGAACTTTAGTAATTTAGTCGAGCAGCGAAATGGACTTGGATTGGTACCAAATTCGGAAATATAATACTTCTATATAAAGGGTATCCCTCTATCAAATTTTATGGAAAAATACCTTCGGGAAGGTAGTCAACCAAACAACCAAAGTTTCGAAAAATCCTAAGGCAAAACTGCCTTGAGCTTTTTGTTTTCCATTTCCAAACATTTGGCCAAGGAAAACCCTTCAAACATGGTTCATTTATGTAGGCAAAGCCTAAGGAACATTCATGGTACATTTGGTAAGTGTTTTAACTCCAAGAAATTCAATTGGCAAGTCCACACCAAGTCTAGCATCAATTCTGCCCAAAATTTAGGGTTTTCAAGAACAGGGCAGGTTTCGTATTTTGATCACAAATCACTCAATTCAACTCAGAATTGAGCATGGTTGATGGCATTGGGAAATAAATTCATAGAAGAAATCATTTTGAAATTCAGCACACAGCTAGCTCAAATTCGAGCCTCAAGGTGCAGCTTCTGAACTTCATTCCAGGAAAACAGAGAAACAGGACAGTCATCTTTAAACGGTTGGTACGGGATATTCGGGTGGAATTAGGGGGTACATTTTATACCGTTGGAAATCTGGGAATGTCTAGTTTCAAATGCCACTGACGGCACTTGATTTTGAAATCGGAGCACAGAGTTATGGACGAAACAAGAAAGCTGTCTGAGCATTACGGGGAAATTTTCCAGGTTTGCTAGCTTTGCGAGATTAAACCATTTGACCAACCAAACCTCAATATTTTTTGATGAAACTTTGTACACCATCTACACAACATATAAACATCATATACAAGCCATTAAAACCTCAAAATTCCACAAAAAGAGGCACGATCATAACAGGGGCAGAATTGGAAACTTTACATCCATGCACTCCTTGAAGTTTATACTAGCTATGCACCATTAATCTACCAATTTGAGCACTAAACCAAAATTAAATCCATCATCAAGCATCACATCAGCCATCAATCCAAGAGTGGGAGTTCATAGAGCCCACATTCAAAATTTTCCAACAATAACAAGCCACCCACATGAATATCTAAGCTCATAAGTGTAAATCAACTTCCATAGGCCAAGAATTTGAGGGTTGATCGTCACTTACTTGTGTTGGTGAACAAGGCAGAATTTTGGCCCTCTCCTAGCTCAAGAAAACCGTGGAAAGCTCCCCCTTTTTGTAGCTTAAGATGATCTCCAAGTATTAAGCTAAGTGTGTATGAAATTTGGAAGGAATTGGAGAAGATTTGTGCAAGATTTAGAGATGAAAAATGAAGAACTCCTTGGGTTATTTTTGCAGCTGATGGCCAGCCACTTTGTGAGGAAGAGAGAGAGTGTTTTGATCTAATTTGGCTTCCTAAGGAAGCTTCATTTGTGTGGCTTGAATTGGTTCAAAAGTCAACTCTTCAATAGTACGCGCACGCGCGCGTTTTGTGCTTGATTTCTCTCGAATTCGTTTCACTAGTGCACTAAACCTCCAATATACTTATATTCATATAAATATTATTCACTCTTAATTGTCCCAAAATAAGGGTCTAAACTCTCTCAATTAAATCGCGCGTGCGAAAACGCGTATTTCCAATTTAAGCGCGATAAAGTGAAACTTCCAAGAAATTCTTATAACGATAGTACTACTAACTATCACCTGAGTACTTAAACTTTAAAATACCTAATTTAGGTCCACTGCGTAAGTCTCTAATTTTTTTCCAAGCTTATTGTATCCTCGAATCGATTATTGATTCCAATCACGTATTCGCTATTTTTACTTAATGAGCTTCCAAAAATTAATTTTTGAAACAAGTCACTTTAAAAATATAATGAAACTACAATTCCATGTATTTAGGTCTAATGACGAAAATAATATTCGAAATAAATAGGCAATTAAATATTTAAAAAATGCTCAAAATAGAATTTAAAATATTAAATTTTTGTGAGTTCTCACACTAAACCCACGATTAGACTTTAACCCTAGTATGAGTAGTGAATTGGGGTAGAAAATGGAAGGTTTTAAAAGGTGAAAACCTCATTCTTACATGTTTCAAGTTTCAAGTAATAAATTTTCAGCCTAGGAGAAAATTGATTTGGGTAATTTTAAACTCCATTTGGTGGATGGAAATGAGAAAATGTTTACACTACTATTTGCTTAAATCTTTGACCTAACTATAGGTGGATGTTTCTCCTTGAATTGATTTAGAAATAATGTGATTTGGGGTGAGATTTCTTAGTTGGAACTTGGGTGCAGTTTCATTTAAATATTGTAGCTTGGAGTAGTTGATCTTAATGCACTCCATATACTTGATTCTAGGGTTTGGAAGTGAAGCCGAAGTTGCTCCTGAGGTGAACACATAAGATTTGTTATCCTGGTGAGTGTTCTAAGTGCATGTGAAGTGACTACGTGCAATGTTATTTTTCTTGAATGACATGCTTGCTTGATTGAGATACTTGCCTTTGACTTGATAATATCAGGATGAGGATGTACTTTATCATACTCGAT